GACCATCTCATACTTGAACTCCCTTGCTTTGGGTATGAACTCTCTCCCAACCCAGAGAGGGCAATCCACTGTTTACCAGCAGAGAACCATGGCCTCAGACTTGGAGGTACTGACTCTCATTCTGACCGCTTCACACTCAAACTGCCCCAATGCATGCTGGAGGTTGGGGAAACCAAGAGAACCACATCATCTGCTAAGAGCAGAGATGCAATTCTGAAGTCCCCAAACCGGAACCCTTTCTCCCCCGGACAATGAAAACAATTGTTTGTTTCAGCCTTATAATTAACTAAAATTACATGTTAAAAGGCCTATGTGGAGCTTTTTGGTGCCACCATCAGTGTTAATGAGTACATTATGGACACATTTTCATTAAAGACTTTGTTCAGCTAACTAGCCAGTTAAAGAAACATGTAGAATTTTGACTCCTAGTGGTGGTGTGGAGGCCTTGCACATCAAACCCAGAAAACAGGCAGAGCTCCATAAGTAAGTGCTACTGTAACATTACAGTATAATCAAGAAAAAATTACAGAATTATAAAAAGAGCAATTACCACTGACATTGTTTGCACTTGTGTGTTCTTTATTCAAGTTTGTGTTAGAACGAACTGACAATGGCTAAACTTCTAAAACATTTCACTCTCTTCATAGACTGAAGTGTTGCCTGTTCAAGTTCATGTCCAGACCAAATATGAAGGGTCATTTCTCATTTTCCTTGCCCACAGTCCCCCTGATGGAGGTAACGTCAGTGGTGACGTTCAGTCAAAAGCCCCACAACCCCACATGCACCTTAACCCGTAAATGTTCCAGCAGGATTTCCATGTTGGCAGCATGTGGGAACAGGAGTCAGTTTTCAGTGCAAGACACTCTAGGATCTATAAGGTTTTAGGAGGTCCTTTAGCTACAGGTCTTTGAGGGAATCAAAGCAGCAATGTTTCAATGTAAAACGCTTTAAAGTTATGACATATAAAAATACAGACATTCTGGGACAGGGTTGTTCTTGAGCAGATTTTATGCAACAAGGTGGATTATTAACCTGGGATTTTTTCCGTTATTAACTGCCTGGTATTTTTGTTGGAGCTGCTACAATAAGGCTATTAATGGATTAGTCAACAGACAGAAAATACATTACCAACTGTCTCCATCCATCCATCAAAATATGTCCAGTACCCCCCAGCACAAGATTACATCAGTAAATGTCTTGGTTTTTTTATGACTAACAGTCCAAAACGTTTACCGTAAAGTGAGACCAAGAGGAGCAGCAGGTTCTCACATTTTTGAAGCAGGAACCATCACAAGGCGACAGCTTTGCCTAAAAACTGACTATAACAATTTATTGTTCAGTCTCCTCTGTGGTACAGACATCAAGACCAATCTCTATTTTTTTGACGCTTTGTCTTTTTGTACATCAGTTCTTACAAATTGATCATAGTACAGTCAGATATGCAACATGGCGGGCAAGGCAACATGGTGCTCTGTGTACTCCCGCACAAAGCCGGAAACAAACGATGGGAAACTTATCGTAGAAGATGAACTCCTTAACTTTATTGTTGTAAAGATGAGAACAATGAGCCACGATGAAATTGTTTACACTTTTACACAGTTGTGCGGATATCTCAAGACGTCATGTGGTTGACACTCTGTTGAACAACTGTGATATTTTATGCTTACAAGAGACCTGGCTAGCAAAACAAGATCTGGATAAACTGAATGGACTACACAAGGATTTCCATGGCGCTGGTGAGTCCACCACCAACTTAAAACTCTGGGATAGTCCGTGGTAGGATACCTGGGGGTGTGGCTGTGTTGTGGAACATTAAATATGACTCTGGTTAAAGTGTTGAGAATTAATGTTAACTGCGCTATTGGGCTTGAGATGTAGGCCAATGATAAGAAGTTCATCATTTAAAATATTTATACACCCTATGAGTCATATTTGTATGAAGATGAATTTTTGAATAGACTGTCTTTTATCAGCTCCTATCTTGAGGACAATGATTTGACTTGTGTATAATATACACATACACAAGCGTTAAAATCCCCTGTAACATATTATGTTAAAGGGGATTTTAATGCTGATGTGTCTGAACCTAATTCAATCTTTGCTAATCATCTTGTGCAGTTTTGTAATGAAAATAACTTTATGCTGTCCAGTAAAATCATCTTGCCTGAGAAGAGTCTCACTTACATAAGCGAAGCATGGCATACAACCTCCTGGTTAGACCTTTGCATCTGTTTGGCCGATGCCCATGCGGCACTGAGCAATATAGAGATATGTTATGGGCTTACCACCTCTGACCACATACCAGTTGCGCTCTCTGTCAATGTTGATAATGTACCGACAACTTCTGATATTAACTCACTCAATACAGGCAAGTTGGACTGGTCTTGACTATCAATACATGAGATTAATAATTATAACTCTGCGGACATTTCACCCGCAATGCAGAGAACATATTTCACACACTCAGGTATATGACAATCAGTGGGACTTTAACCTTAATAAAAAATGTGAAATTCAATGAAATACCATATAGGCTATTGTGGGAGATGAAAAATAATAATAATATCAATTAGGGCCACAGGCCTGTGTCTCTTCGCCTCTACTTGGGCCGGGCCAAGGGCCTAACACCACGGGCCTACTAGGGCCTTGGGCCTAGTTTTAGGCCCAAATCTGACCTTTAGCTAGTAGCAAGAGGGAAACACAAACCTGACAGACACTGTAAAGATGAGCAACTAGGGAGAAAAGGAATTGCACACCCTCCTTGTTCTCGCAAATGAAGAGGCCCTTAACTGTCAGATGACAGGAACAGTGAAAAACGGGCCGACTTACGAGAGAATCTCTAAAGGACTGACTAGCCGCGGCTTCCCTCTCATGTCACTGGATACGTCACACGCTGAGCTACATGTTTTGTTACTTGCTCACGCCCTCCATTGCCCTGAAAAAGGCACATTCTGTATAAACAAAAGTAGGTAGGTGGCATTTTGCCACACTCCCTATTTTTGTTTTTATACTGCCAATGCTGAAAAAAGACTGATTGGGCTTTCCTGCAAATTTGGACAACTCCTGTTTAAAATGGGCTAATGATACTCGTTACCTGGAGAGGTTGGAAAAAGATATATGTTTCTTCCCTGTTCCAAAACCAAAATCAGACCTTGAAAACCAGTGAAGGGAAGCAGGGAGACTTTGCTGATATTCAACCAGCTGTGTGTCATCGCATTGTGCACAGATGAACGTTGTCTGACTTCCCTTGGAGATCCCTGCCCGTCCAGCAGCAGAGGTCTGGGTGCTGGCAGCGGCACGGGGTTGAAGCCAAACACTGTTCATCTACACACACTGTGATGCCACACAGCTGGTTCAGTATCAGCAAAGTTTCCCTTTATATTCATTGTCTTGTGTGGCGATCAGCAGTGATGTGGTGGTTCACTTTAACACTGTGATCTGTAGCCAATAGTTCAGCTTTAACTTCTAACAATCTTTGTCTTTTTAACCTGTTGTTGCTGCTGAGTCAGTTTGACATCCTGGATATATCCTTCAAACACAGACTGTAGACCCCTCTGTCTGCTTCATTCTGGAATCACTGTTTCATTTTTCCAAAAATATGATAAGATTTCTTCAGGGAGTGCAGTTAGTGACAGTGTGGGCTCCATGCTGACTGCAACAGCTTGTTGGACCATCACAAAGGGGCGGGGCTTAGTGAAAGGTCAAATAACCCCAAGACAGGAGGCTTCATGCAGATTCATAAAGAAAAAACTCAATCAAAGCCAAAGATTCAGAATGAGATACTGGACATCCTTACAAGAAATTCCCAAGCATTTTAATCTGGACCTTTGATATGAGCGGTCTTAGTATACCCAGAGTACGTCATGTGTCTGAATGTCAAGCACTATCTCAGTGGCTCTTAGGCTCTGCTGGGTCATACCTCCTTGTCACAGATTATATATGTGATTCTCAAAGACAACATCTGAAGACACAGCAGAGTCGTGGAGAGTTATGTGTGCTGGCCTCGGGGTTGAATCTCTGCTTTTTGCTGATGATTTGTTTCTGCTAGCTTCACAGCCGTTACCTCCAGCGTGCACCTCTAAGTACTGTATGAGGCCGTGGTTATCTGCCGGAAAACGTGAATTGCTCACTGTGGGTTTGGAGTGAGGCACAGTGATGGAGTTCAAGTATCTCGGGGTCTTGTTCACAAACGAGTGAGGGTAAATGAAGACGAGATTGATGTCACATCAGCAGTAATGTGTGTCACCTGTCATGGTGAAGAGGAGACTGAGCACAGTACTCGATTCAGTCATTCAATGTTCTTTGTGACAATAATCTTAGCTCATGAGCTTTGGGTAGTGACTGAAGGAAATATAGATACAGTGGCTGAATTTAGTTTGGTTATTAAGTGTCTTTAATGGTAACTGAGATGTGGTTATCAGAACTAGGCAGGAAGATAAAGTCATTTCCACAGCATTGTTTGTGTCTGTGGTTGGCCCTATTCATAGTAAAGCAACCTAAAGTTTAAGCCATCATAACCACGTCAGTGTTTTTCTTCTCACTTTCACAGCTCTTCTTCCGCTCTGAAAGCTGCGTAGACAGAAGCAGTACACAGTCTTTTTTATTAGACATCCACACTGACAGGAGTAGGCAGGTGAATGCTCAGGTACTTCATCTTCTTCTTTGCACTTTCACTGTTTTGATGCTGAAATTTGAATGTTAGACTTATTTTTATATCGAAATTCACCGTTGATGGTACAATAAAGCCATCATTTTTTTGACCAGTCATTTCTTACAATGATTTCAATATATTAGAATACTTGAGTTTAAACCGTTGTTGGTTCCTTCACGTGTTTTATCTTGATTTTTTGGTCACAGTCTTGTCATCATGGGTTGCTACAGTTGTGTTATAAAGGGATTTAGACTGTCATGTGGAAAAGCAGATTTGTTCCAGAGAGTCTGTTTTGTGTATATGCTGTTCTGTAAGTGGGGCTCACCTTCTTCAGATCCATCGTTAAAAAATGAGAGATCGAGCAGGAGAAGAAGTGACCTCATCCTTTAACCAGTCATCAGTTACAAACCAGGCAGAGGTCAACGGTTTGACTAACTGTGAATGGAACGAAACTTCGGCCCTGCCCTTCCTTATAACGGCCTACAGTCTTGTGTTTCTGGTGAGTTTCAATAATTCAGATTACTTTTCTAAGTTTTTTTATACCCTAACTGATACTGGTTTGTAGAAAATCTGCAGAAAATCTCAAAGATAATCCAAGACGGTACAACCTCAGAGGACATATGTAGTGGTTGGTTTTTTGGTTGGGCACATACAAGATCAAAGTGTAGTGAAAGTTACATGTATCTTCACCTTTTCTAACTGACTTATGTTAGAGAACTATGCCATTAAAGGAACAGTGAGTAGGATTTGGTGACATCTAGTGGTGAGGATTGTAGATTGCAATCAGCTGAAACTTCGTCTGTGTGCCGAGCTTAAACTCATTATAGTGACTCAGCCTAAACTTAAAGCCACTGAGGGGCTGCATGGACAGGCTACTTATTAATTGACATGCCCACCTGACCTAACCGACCGCTGGTTATCAGGTGAGTCCGCTTCTTCTTCTTCTTCTTTGATGCATAATTAATTTATCACTGCTGTAGTCTTCAATGAAAACTTGCAAACCACTCAAATGTCCAACTCTTTCATCATTGCATTGAGCAGTGTAAACCTCACTTGATGTGGCCTAGCGTTGTGGTCAAAAAACTATGTGTGCTCCCCCGTCGTAGATATAAACGTCTCATTCAAAGGTAACAAAAACACAACAATTCTTATTTTCAGGTGACTATACACAAAAGAAAACATACTTATTATATTACATTCCATTTCTGCCAGTATATCCCTCTAAATCCTACACACTAGCCCTTTACATGATAAAAAAAAATTTGGAATTTGACTCACTCATTGGGTTGAAAATTAGTATCTTCTGTCCATCAGATCAAATCTTTTGTTAAGCTCAAATTTATTTTGAGTGCCTGTAGATGTGTATTGTAAATCTGCATCCTCATCCTCTTTTCTCTCCAGGTGGGTTTCTTTCTCAACGGCTTCGTCATAAAGTTTTACTTCTGCCAAGCTCAGCAGAAGGCATCCAGCAGCATGATGGTCTACCTGAAAAACTTGGCAGCTGCTGACTTCCTGCTCTGCCTCTGCCTTCCCATCCGCATCATCCACTACGCCAGCAGCTCTTTCACCATTCGCGTAATTAACTGCAACTTTGGCGCCTCCGTCCTCTTCCTCAATATGTATGCCAGCATCATGTTCATGGGCTACATTTCCGCTAACAGGTAGGCCAGGACAATTTGAATTTCATGTTGCATAGAGCATGAAAAATACACAAACTTCATGTGTTTTCTGGCTATGTCGATATACAGGAAACACAAAACTACTGCATTCAAAGTACTCTAACCTTAAGAGCCGAAGAAGAGTGCTCCCAGATACTACTCAGATTCCCACGTCAGACACACAAATTCACCTTTTTGATTTGAGGGCAGTCGGGGCTGAAAGCTGAACTTCAATGTAACTGCTATGTATTGAAGTTACCTCCTGACACCTCTCTCTGCTCCAGGTATCTGAAGGTCGTCCAACCTTTAGGAACTCACATCATGCAGACGGTGCGGGCCGCTCACATCATTTCCACGGTAACCTGGGTTGTCCTCCTGGCTGTGACGAGCGCCTTCGTTATCCTGTCGTTTAACACCCAGGAACTTTTGACCTCCGCCCCAGTGCGCTGTGAAACCTTACACAGTGGACAGCTCACCGTGCTCTTCAAGATTGTCCACACTTGCTGCACCACCTTGTTCCTGTTTGTCCTAGTCTCCATGGTCTTCTTCTACTACAGCACCTCGCGCAGGGTGTCGCTGGCCCAGCAGAGGCAGCCGGAGTCCTCCAGCTCCACAAAACTTGCAAAGTCACACAGAAACATATTAGTGCTAGTCTGTGTCTTCTGCTTTTGCTTCATCCCCTACCACCTGGTTCGTCTTCCACAGGTTTTCCTGGGGGGGCACTGTTTGTCAAGCAAAGTGCTCTACTACTTGATAGAGCTGACCATCATCATGTCAGTTCTTAACGTCTGCCTGGACCCAATCATCTACTTCATCCTCTGCAAGGGGTTCAGGACCCAGCTAAGGCTGGGATTGGTGTGTGGAACCTCATAACTACTAGGCAGTTGTTGCTGATGCTGACATTTTCTCTGCAGCAAGCTCTGCCACTGAATCAGCTTTCTGCAGATCTGCTTTTGCAAAACAGCTAATGGGAACGCTTTCACCCTGAAATGACCTGTGAATTGCCAAAGTCTCAAGAGCTAGACTTTCTAAAGCTTGAAAACAGAGCCAAAGGGAGGTTCTCTCAGTCCACTTAAATCACAGTATGCACAGAGCTGGTTACGGGATTTTGCCCAATTAATCCAAAACCCATTGTTACCTGCTGTAGGGTTGTTTTGTGTCCTTGTGCTGCCTTGTTTTGAGTGAGGGCTTGACAGCTTGTGTTGTACCGTCTTTGTGATTTGATAGTGAAACTGTGCTGAGCCTGTTAGGTAGCACTGCTTTCCCTCTTTATCAGTGGAAAGCAGTTTTCAGTAATCTTAAGTTTTGGTTGTAAACATTTTATTTACTGTTAATAAATTCCTTTGTTTTGCTTTTACTCGGCTCCCTTGATTCTTTTTCCCTGGTTTAATTTTATTGCTACTCCCTCATCCCCTGAGCCTGATCAGGGAACATAACACCCCTGCTTTAAAACCAAATGATATAAACATAACTGAACATAACGAAAAGCGCGTGGCTTCTTCAGGTTTGCTCAATCACTTGCGTTGTTAAACACGTTGTTCAAATTCATCAAAGTCACACAACAACACAACCAAACCAATCAATCCATCCGATACTTGTCGAGATATTTTTTTGGTCTGGATCAAAAGTGGTGGAAAACCTGACCAACACTGTTACCCCCTAATAACCACAATCGCTTTGAAAGTGGGTTATTTTACTTTGATGTCCTGTACTTGAATATATTGTTGGTTGTGTGAGAGGAGAAGCTGTGTTTATAGACAGATGCAGAGCTACCTGTCCTCTCCTTTTTCCCTCTCCTCTCCTCTGATGCCCCTACCAGTGGAGCTGCTTGACTTTAACAGCACAGTTATTGATGGCTCATCTCAGACACAGAGAGGGAAATCAAACCCAGGGCCCTCTGAATGATGAACCAAGAAAAGGCCAATGACGGTCAATCTTTCTTCTGTTCTCATATATTTCTCCGTCTTTTCTCTGCCTCTCTTTCTTTTTATCTCGATGTCTGTGTCAGGTTCAGAGGAAGCAAGGAAGAGAAGGAGAGAGGTGAAGCAGCTGATTTTCTGCCAGGTTTTGTTCCTGTCGACATATAATCCATGTTAATAAATGGCTTTTGAGGTCATCACGATGTAGCCGGAGGGAAAGTGGGAGAGATAGAGCGGCAGGCTTAAAACAGATTTCTGTGTGTGTGTGTGTGAGAGTGAGCTTTGAACAGGGTGTATGCTAATGTGCTATATGGACAAAAGTATGTGGACACCTGAGCATTTCACAAAGGGCATAGGTTTTTTGCAACATTTGGAGGAGGCACATTAAGCAGGAGATCTGAGGGTTCCTACCCCAAAACATTTAGAGCGTCAAACACTTTATTTCCTGCATTATCATGAATTTTGCACCAACACCAAATTGTGCCTTTACTGCATCAATTTATGTTGGAACTGTCATGGTACTTCCTGATTCAACTGTGCAGAGTTGCTTCTTGTATTTCAATCAGGAGAGACAGAAGGATAAAGTAAAGATAATATTTAATACAGAATATGAGTGTAGAGATTAACAGATGATTTGTGCTGATTAACTCTGGCGCTTGGACACCAGAGGGAGGTATTTTATGATTGAGGGACATCTGAGCCACAGCAGAATAAATCCCCCCCATGGAGTCCAGACACTGGAGGTGGTGGTGGCTGATGACTCTGAGGCTGCTGACTGCTGAGGCGTATGAGGCTGATGAACCTGTAAAGACTAGGTGGTGATGGGGAGATGGAGGGCGTGCACATCAGCAGCAAGAACGGACTATGGCAGAGAAAGAACCATATTTAAAATGAGGAGTAGTGAGATGATATGCTGACAGAGAAGTTGTGCTATTGGTTGATTATGAATCAGCTGATGACTCAACTGACAGACCTCCCCAGACAATGACACCTAGAGATAGTGAGTGAGCATACTTGCAAGGAGTGAATGGCAGAGTGAGAAAGAAAACTCACAGCCTGAGCATGAAAAGTGTTGTCTTCCTGTCTGAACTTTGGCCAGAGTTTCATTTTTCATTTTATGGCAGATTGCAACCATTGCTTTTGAGGATGCATGCTGCCACCACCTACATTACCAAAGGCATTGCTGTGTCTATGAGTTGTGTTCTAGCAATGAATTTAAATAAAACTACTTTCATGTTTTCATCGGGATGAACAAATGCACGTGTTCTGAGGGGGACAGTTCCCCTGCCCTACCTAACCTAACAAGTCCGGACTGCCTTTGTGTAGACTTGAGGCAATATCCTCTCATTTGTCATCTGCACTATGATGACTGGACAGTAAGAGGACGGTGTCTGGAAAGATTTTATTAAGAAAATGAATCTGAAATAATACAAGTAAGGGGCAAGAATAGGGTTTTGAAAAGTGTGTCAGACATGTCTCCATCATCCCCAGTGGAAATGAAACCCTTCAAATCAAAATAGATGTTTTAAGTTTTTCTTGCACTGATCATCATCATCATCATCATCATCATCATCATCATCATGTGGCCTAACAATAACAAAGTCATAATTCTGTAGGTATTCTTATTAGTGTTTTGGAGTTAGTCATTTCCTGGAAAATGAAAAGTCGATGACTCATCTTGCACTAATTTTTTTTCTCAAATTGAGCCTTCATCTCTCCTTCACCCTCAGAACTACTGGCTTCATTTTTCAGCTCAAACATGCACGACCTCACTCCAAAAACGTCATGGTTGTTGTTGTCTTCTTCTTCCTCCATTTCATCCCTGTCGTATTTGTTGATAAAATCCGAAATGACGGTGGTGGCAAGAAGTCCTAGACAACAGAGAGCAGACCGCCCTCATTCGTGGCTGATCTTTATGATGAGCTAGTAGCTAGGGCTGCTCGATTAATAGAATTTTAATCTAGATAACGATTTGGGCTTTCAACGATTATGAAAACAAAATAATCAACATAAAACGATTTTGTGCTTCTTGTCAGTTTACTCTCGTTGTCTTGTGTTGCAAATCAAATGCACCCGGAAGCCGCGCATGCGCAATACTGCCCCCTCCCCTCCTCTCCTCTATTCACTCCACGAGCCAAGTAGGTGAAATCGAATAATACAAGGGACAGGTGATCACGGAAGATTTCAAAAACAGTGTGCGGAAAATGGCAGAGGGAGAGTAAGAGAGGTTGGTCTGTGTGTGCATGTATCTGTGTGTGTGCTCGCTTGTGTCTGTGTGTGTGTGCGCGCTTGTGTCTGTGCGTGTGTGTGTGTGCATTGGGGCCGAAACTCCGCCGCGCGCGATACAGAGAGCAGAGGAGAATTGTAAACGCGTGACCATGTAGAGACAGAAATGACATGCCGTCGTGTGAACAATATAAGTAATCACGTGCACCGTATAATCGTTTGCATAATCGTGATTTCGATTTTGACCAAAATAATTGTGATTATGATTGTTTCCATAATCAAGCAGCCCTACTAGTAGCTACTCTCAATCTGAAATCTAGCAGAGGGATTGGGGGCGGGGTCTTACTTACATTCAGCCTTATTAGCGACTGTAAACACCAATCAATATCGTAGCTTCTTGTTTTTACAGGCAACACGTAAATACACAGAAAATAGAATAGTCCTCTACTAGCTGAACTTTAAGAACCTTGTAAGTCATCAATGTTTGGTTCTTCCCTGCTTTTCCACTGTAATTTACAAACAGGAACATTAAAGATAAACACCATTAAAAAGACACACATGCTGCTTGGTAGTAGATTGAAGTCAAGTGTGCAGAATAGACAAGTCATTTTCTTTTACTGTAAGTTGACCAGGCAACCCTGTCCCCTAAAAATGCTGTTGCTGCCTGGATGGTTGTAAAATGTTTAATTATCTTGTACTTTGTATTTTATTGTATTTTACTTTGTATTTTACACTGTAAGGTGACCTTGAGTGTCATGAAAAGCGCCCAGAAATAAAATGTGTTATTATTATTATTGTTATTATTATTATATTGTTCACCATCAAATTTTTTCTCCAGGGAAGGAAATACTATAATTTTGCACCACACAAAGAGAAACCATGAAGAGGTGCTTGAACACTGACTGTGAGGATGAGGGCTCACATCCTCAGTAAAAATATATGTTTCAAGGTTGATAAAGACGCAGTATGTGGTTATTTGTTGTAGCTGTCCTTACTGTGATGCAATCTGCTTTACCTGTCACAATGAAGAGAACTAACATCAACTCCTGACAGTACCTCCTTCTCAAAGTGGGCTGAGAACAGTGAGAATAAGAGTACGACTGACAATGGCTACATGTTGTCTTATGTCTCATTAAACCTGCATTAACTTTTGTTCATTTTTGGCCAGTTGGGTGTCACAGAAACAACCTGTGAACACAACATATCATCTTATATAGATGCTACAGTGAACTTGTTAGCAAACAGCCGTGGTTATGGTGAAGGTCCAACTATATATATATATGTATATATATATATATATATATGTATAAAAAGAAAATCATAAGCTAAAAGATGTATAAAGAGCTTGGGGAGCTGCAGAGTCCGGTGATAATAGGGTGGTGCAGGAAGGAGTCCTGCAGAAATTAGTTAGCATTTTAGCACTCCTGGTTCCCTGAGCTCAAAGTCAATGGGTTTTTGGTTCGATGCCTAAAATAAGGTCTGGGGTTAACGCAAGCTTCAGAGATTTTACATTTTGTTCTACAACATAAAATATGTCAGTAAATCCCCCACTCATGAATTTTGAAGCTTTTACGTGTCTTGTAAAAGGCGGTTGCTAACAAGTGGCTGAATGAGACTAAAGAACGTCATCACACCGAACAGCTTTACAGCGTCGTTGTGGGGGTGACGTTAAGTCATGTGACCCTCGTGTAGTTTGTTTATAGTCTAACAATAACTTTTTACTTCTGG